ACAAAAAATAAAATAAAATAAACTAATAAATACCAATTACTCTATATCTGAATCCATTATTCTTTCAATATTTTCAGACAAACGATGATGTGACTTATATTTGTTTATAGCCCACTTAGCTGTTCTACCTTTCAGATCTTTGTTATAAGCATCCATATATCACCAAGATTTGTGAACATATTTACGAATTGTTGTTATAGGAACATTAACAAGAGCTCTTAAAACTTGTTGTTGTAAATCAAAATAACTATATTTGTATAATTTTCTTGTCTCCTGTTTTACATAACTCTAATATCTTTTAATAAAGTTATATTTACAATGAAACTTGGGATATTGCTCAAAAATATGGCTTTTTTCAAGAAGCACCTCTTCAAGCATTGATTTTTGTTCACAAAAATCAGGCTGCTGTGATATAATTTGTCATGTACAGCAGCCTAATTTTTCTGAATTATCATGCTCATTTTTTTTAGAACACTGCTCATATACTAGACGAACACCTTGTAATGGCCATAATCCATGCTTAGTAAGTACTTGTTTAATTCCTTTTGGTTGTTCTCTATATTTTACTATATGATAATTATCTGGAAATAACATTGATTGTATTTGTTTTTCTCCATCTTCATCAAAATACCAGCCATTACACATCTTAGGTTGCAATCCTCTTGAACCAAGATTTATTTTTGTTGCAACCAATGCATTTTCAGCCATAGCATTATGATTAGTTGATTGGTCAAAACAAAAAACACCAATACAACCAGGATGAAGTACTTCGAATATTGGAATTGCATGTTCTTCAAGCTGTTTTAACATGTGTTCTGATTTCCAATACCCATCTAACTGTGTAGAACGAAGAACAAATATCTCTTTATACTTTATATGAGAGTTAGCTATCATCTGCTTATCAGATAGCTGCAACAATCCATGACATAGGCAGAGAAAAGCTGAAACCATAATTGATCGCACTGGATGTTTTGAACATAAAAGATCTTCATTTTTTTTTTCTCTTTCCATCATTTGCATAAAAATAACATTCATCATGTGTAACTTGCACATACTCTTTTTTATCAAATTTAAGTTGAGGCTCTAATACAATATCTAGCATATCACCACTAAAACTTTTCATATATTTTCTATATATGGAATTATTAATATATTAGATTAAATTAAAAAAAACTTAAAATTGTTTAACAGTCACTTTAAATACATTTTATTTTAATAATTTTAATATAATTCAGATAGACACAAATTCTCTAAATCTAATTCTTAAAATTAACAATTTTAAATCATATTACTTACTACTATCTTACTTATACATGAACATTCTATTTAGATATTTCTTTCTGTAAGTCACAACATCTGATCACTCATGCCCATCATAGTATACACCTTTTTTTTTCATTGTATCTAAACCTCCATAGGTGCATATATGTTCGGCATGTTCGTTCAGAGATTGTTTTTTTTTTTATTTGATTCATCATTTGGAGAAATAATGTTCTTTCAATATAAGCTTTTAATGTACCTAGAGAGCGTGACTCAGGTTTTTGTTGGTGTAACCAAGCTTGACATGCATCTGAAAAATCTATATTTTTAATCAAGCTCTTCAATTTTGTATGTTTTCCCTGATGATCAACAAGAAGTTTCCTAGTTTGAACATAATGATCATCCAATTTTCTAATGTGTCTTGCTAAATAACTTCTTTTATTCCATATTATCTTTGCAATACAGGTACTAGCATCTATTTTACCTTTACCATTTAACAATAATTCTATATATCTGCTTATACTTAAGAGATGTAGATAATCATATGTAGGTGTATTCAAGGATTTTGTAATTGAACATTGATGATTAATTTCATCCAGACATATTTGTAATTTTACAATTTTATTAGATAATAATAAGTCAGATATAGAAATTAGGAATAATTGTGGTAATGGTAATGATAAGTCAGATTTAGAAATTGGAGATAATTGCAGTAATGGTAATAATATATTATTTGATTGATGTGTTATTGAAAATGAAGTCTTAACATTAGCAGATTGGCCAAAACACATTTGTAACTTTGACATAGTTTCTATAAATAATAGAGAGTTTCTTATTGCTGCTAGAAGAGATTTTGATGAAAATTGTGATACTAATGATAGAGCACTAGTTAATAATAGTCGGGATAATAATATTACAGTATTAATAGGGGAAAATTGCTATGATGAAGCAATTAATATGTTAGTATCTAATAACACATCAGGTTTTTTTTGTTTTCTTTGCCAAATTGTTGTTCTTGACATTCCATTACATACTGATCCAGCTTGTTTTTTCTCATAAATATCATCTTGCATTATAGTATCTGTATAACTAGTCTCATTTCACATTGTAGCATCTTTATCTATTTCCATTATTTCACTGTATATATCAACAGTTTCTTCATGTATAACAATTTTTCGAGAAGCAAAGCAGCTACATTTTCTAGATAATTCATTTGCAAGACGTTTTCTTTTGTTTTGACAAGGCATTATAAATTAACTGATTAAGATAATTATTTATAAATTACAAAATTGATTTCAATGTTCAAGCCTTTGAATTTTTTTTTTTTTTTTTTTTTTCCAATAAAATTTTGCATAATTACAAAGTTTTATTTGCGATAAATTTTATTTTGTGACAAGGTTTTATTTGATAACAATTATATTTAATTGATAGAAAGTAAAGATGATAAGAGAGCATTTAAATCATTCCTGGCAGTCAGTTAATATAATCGGACAATAAATATCATCCAATCAAATGCTCTAAATCTACATATGATTTGTCACGATTTGTTTTAATTTCGACAAAAATATATAAACTTTATAACATTAAAACTTTTTATAGAAGCAATTTTTTAAAAAACTAAACTGTTAACTTTATAGAGTGCATTCTAAACTACAAAGTTAACAGTTTACTTTTTTGAAATCGCTTCTGTTGAAAGTAGAGTAGCATTTTGAAAAATATCATATTTCAAATTATATGATTGTTGAGTATAAGCTTTCGGCACCATACTAAGATAATACATATAGAAGCAAGATATAAAATTTTTTTTTATAATAATAAATAAATCCTTTTAATAGATAGTATTAGAGAAAATGTATATTTTAGATAGAGTTAGAATAGAAATATATTATTAGAAAAACATTGATTTATTTTACAAACTATATGTATTATTATATTTTATTAATTATATATTACTGTCTATATGTTCAAATAAATTAGATTATATATGAATATTGCATAATAAAAACTGTGTTAGTAAATATTATATACAGTATAAGTTTTCACTCTGTAATGCTTATATATTTTTAACAGTAATTTGGTCTATATGTGCTTATAAATTTAACTATAATAGATCATATGATTACAGATAATTTCTTGAAAGTAGTGTTTTGATTCTATTTTTTAAAGGCCATTTAGATTAAATTCAGATTCAACTTTATATAACTAAATGATAATCTGAATTTGGATAAATTTGAATTCAATTTATTAAATCTGAATTTTATATAGTTTATAATATTTGTAGCCATTTAAATTTTAATATCTAATATATTTAAAAGATATTATAACAAACTTTGCAGAATACTGAATATAATAATGTTATTACTATAAAAAATATTGAGATGCAAAACATTTGTTTGTTTATATTAGATTAGAATTAGAGTGAGTGCTTAAGTTAGGATTAGGTTTTAGGTGCTTATATAGTAAAATCACTTAAAGAAACTTTTTGTTAGTAAGCAATTTTGACAAAAGAAACTTGTTTTGAATTTTTTTAGTTATATTGAATATAATCTTTTATTAGTTAATAATCATATAAATGAATTTTTTAATAATAATACTAAGACAAATCTAATATAAAGTAGATAGTCACATAATGCAAGTACATGTATCCTAGTGTATATATATATAACTCCTTAAAATTTTAATACATAAAAGTTTATTAATATTTTAAAAAAATTTTTATAATAAAGTTTATAAAATATGTTTTTAA